CCAAACTAAATAGACTCATCATTTGAAGGCAGTGTTTAAGAATAACTGAAACAAAAGTGCTTTTGTCTAAGATAAATAACATTCCATCATTCTGGTTGCCAAGGAAAAGACACAGAGATACAGATTCATCTCGGGCATGTTAATGCCCTTGGAGTAACATCAGATCTGACAAGACAGCTTTCACTTGTTACATCAACCAGTAATTCAAAGATGCAGGAAGCGCTAAGACAATGTGCAGGTCCCACACTGGAGCTAGTTGGTACTCACCTATAAATAATGCCTTTGCCGTGAAGAAACTGTAGCCCGCATAAAATTTCAGCTCCATAAAACCTGGAAAGACCAAAACATCTTTTAATCTGTCTTGCTCAGTTAAAACATAGTCAATGCAGCTGGCTAAAAGAGCTGGCGTATATCTCTCTTCATGGAGTGAGTCCTGTACACTTCTTTAAACACTACTATACCTGTTTTTATGTAGCTGGATGCGGTAATCTGCCAGTTAATCCCTTCACCACACAGCCGTAGTATCTAATGCCAAACAGTAGAGGGGACACGACAGCAACTTGCCTTAATGCTTCATTCCACATCCCTTAGGGAACACTGTCCCTTCTCCACTCTTTAACAGTCCTTGTATGTTTTTAGTGACATGTTCATGCCTTTTGAAAGACAGCTACTGGGAGCTTGCTACGCACACGATGATTGCTTTAGGAGGGAGTGGGCACTGACGGCTAAGTTAGAAACGGACTTGACCTATCTCCTCTGCACCTGCCCAGTTGGAGCAGACAGATGGAAAGGTAGCTCCGCTTCAGGGGCATTCTCCTCAAAAGAGGAGGTGATAATTGAGAGGATATGAAGGACAATGCTAAAAGAATGCCCCCCCCCCCGTATTAAAAGCTTTCTTTTTTTAATTGGACAAATACAAAACTATTTCTGCTTCTGTATAGCAGAATAAACGTTGACCCAAAACTTCAGAAATAGGCACAGAGGACGCCAGGAAAGGCTGCCAGATGCGCAGATGGTTGCTGGAATGCAGGTAAGCTGTCCAGATTTCTGCTGGGAAGAGTGGGAAGGGACCTTGCCCTGACCTATAAAGCTGGCTGCCACCCAGCCACTATTTATTCCAGACCCCTTGATCTGATCCCATCCAGCCAGTGTTCCTTAGTACAGCACACAGGAACACAGGTAATTTTCCCAGTCTGGTTATGTAATAGCACTGGTGCTTACAGGTAGATCCACTCCCCTGCACTGTTACTTTTGAGGTCTTGCATGCGCCCGTTCAGTGATACAATTAAAACCCTCATCCTTTTGGGTGAGAGAGGTAGAAACTGACCTAGAACTAAAAAAATTATGATAGGTAAACAATACTACAATAGTTTTGCATCTTTCAAGTCTTTAGCTCCAGTGATCTTTAAGCCATAGGTAACTGACACAACTGCACTTGCTAAAAGCGCTTACCCATTTTATTGGTGTCTTGTGGAATGTGCATCGTGTCAACTTACCAATACTAGTAAGTAATATAAGTGGTTTTTTTTATCATGCTGTTTTCCAATTTTTCCATCCAAATATTGTCCTAAGAGACACTGAAGCTGTACCTTTTGCTTTTTATTGCTGGCTCATGTTGCAGTTTACTTAGCATCTCTAGGTACAAGCATCTCATAAAGTAAAACATCGCACTTCTAGGTAAATTAAGAAAACCTAACTCCATGCATCATTAAGTGAGCTTCCTGATTATATTAAACCAGTGCCTAGAAATACCTTTTCAACTATCAGCCACTGAAACTTGAGTGAAAGAGTGCAGGTAAGTGGTGCAGAACTAGAAGCAGTAAAACCACAGCAACTAAAATAATCTGTGGAGATAGGGACTGAAGGGTTGTGGACTTACGTTGCTCTGTAGAGATCAAAACGCCCCTTGTCTTGTATGTGGAACATCAGGTCTCCCCCGTTCAGGAACTCCATAACGAAGAATAGATGATCCTGTTTGCAAATAAACAGAGAAAGGAAAAATTACTGATGGTATTGCAACGACATATGAAGTAGCAATATGACTACTGGGGACCAAGAAGCCACTTTCCTCCTCTCCTGAAGTATTTCTCTATTTCGTGCACCCCTAAGAGTGTATGAGGCTCCTACAGATTTGAGTAGCCTGGTCTTGTATGGCGGAGCTAAACAGCTGATCTTGTATTCTTGTGGGTTTCTAGTTTAATGAAAATATATATCTTTAAATACACTTACTGACTGCACCTGCGACAGTCATCTTTTTCCCCCTCACTGAGGGTAAAGCTAAGATCAAGGATTTAAATTAAACTGCCTCTTATTCCAGATTGCACAGACATTTTCCTGATCTCATTCTGTTCTCATCAGTGTATGTGGGGGTCATACTCACATTTACTTCCTGTGAGGCCTGTGAACTACTGCACAGAGCATATGAAAAGGAGATTTAATTCTTGCATCACTAAGTTACTTTCACTTGACTGCTACACCTGTTGTGTTGCTTTTGCCACAGGGCTTTTTCTTACCTTTGTCTGAAACGTGCAGTAAAGATGTGTGAGAAATGGATTTTCCCATGCAAGTGCGAGGACCCGCTTTTCCACCATGGTACATTCCACATCATCATCAATTAGCACCACATCTTTTTTCAGAGCTTTGATAGCAAAGAATTCATTCTTCCCTTTCAGTTCAGCTAGCAGAACCTACCAAAAAATACGAGATTATAGCACAGGAAAGACACAGGAAAGACTGTTGTTGCTGTATCAGTAAGGAAAGTCAAAGGTGTTTATAGCAGGTGCAATGACAATTAAAAAAGCATTTAAGTGGCACAGAAGAGTGAGATTTGGGAAGGTGAATTTGCTGGGCATAGAAATGAGGAGACAGGGCTCAAGGACCACGTAACGCGAGCAGAGCAGCTTCCAGGGCATTTTTTCTGTCAATGACTCATCAGTGTATAAACAGAAGACTTGTAAAGCCTGTTCCTTCATTAGAACTGCAGTTTCACAGACATCAGCAGACAGAATCTGTGGAGCTCATGCTGCTCTCCCACGTCTCCCCGTGCCACTGCACTGGAGCATTATAAGGCTGTTTCTATACAGACTGTACAGACATAAAATATCCTTTTGCACTGTGGTGCTTAAAGGGAAATTCCTCTGCCTTGATACTAAATCACTGAAAAACTGTTGTGCATTATGAATCACTTCTGAGTTTAGATGAGATTCAGGCAATGAATTTCTAGTGTCTTTTAACAGAATTTGATATAGCTTTGTCAAAGGTTATCAACCCAAGCAGCTGTAGCAGTAAGACCTTTCTAGTTCATGAAAATAGCCCATCGCATTGCAGAGATCAAGCAAGGCAGTCACCTTAAGCTCTATAAGTTTGTTACATACCTTTCCAAAACTTCCTTTCCCTAGTACTTTATGGAAGACAAAGCTGTCTATGTTGAATTTTCTCCTGCTTGCAATTCGTGATGATGTCTTGGCTGTGCTTCCCTCCCAGAGTTTATCGTACTCGCTGCTATCTGCTAATTGAAACAGGGAGTTTAAAGTTCAATATATGCAGAAATACTGCATGACTCAGATTGCTCGCTAAGAACTAAGTACTGACATGCTATTTCAAGGCATCTGCTGCTGGAATACCAGCAAATCTAAACATAAAGGTCAGCTCCTGGAGTTTATAACAAAGTTTGTATTATGCAAGTGTACTTGATAGTGTTGGATTTGAGTTGAATCTGGGGTTGTTTCTGATGCTGGGTTTAAGCAATACTTAGGCATTATAAAAATTAAAGGCCCTAAGTTTCCTCTGTGACTAAGATACAGAGCATAATTTGGAGAAAAAGATAATTTACAAGGACTGCTGGTAAACAAATTATTTGTCTTGTTAACAGAACAGACTGGTCCCTCAGCTTGAGCAGAGAGGCCATAAAAAGAGCTGATTTATGCTCAATGCTGACTACGAAGCATGATCACATAGGTTAATCCTGATCATATCCTAAAATTAGTAACTGTACATTTTTATGGTGTTGTGTGGTGGTTTTTTTTTTCTTCCGCTGCATAGATCTGCTGGGTCACTAACAAGACACTGATGATAATCACGAGATGATACTGCATATGCCCCACGAGCTGCCCAGCATCTGTGATAACCTGGGGAGGAACCACAGTGGCTGCACCCTGACATAGTATTGAACTAAAACCACCTTTGCAAGAGTTTTTGGGGGTTTTTTAATACTGTTCTGGCAAAGCTGAACAAGTATGACAGTAATATCAAAATACTTTTCTTACTGGGCATTTCAACTGAATTAGTTCAATGCATGGGTGAATACATAAAATCCTGTTACCACTCCAAAACCAACCATTATCTCTTACTGAGCCTCGTGATTTCTATCTGGTAAAAAGTTACTTCTACTGTTGCATTTATTTTTGCATAAATTATCATAGGTTAGCAGTTACAAAAATAAGGCTTATACAACGCTAGATACAATACTATTGCTCTAGCAAAGTAAAAAAAATACAAAACCTTACTCTGAACCTGTAGAGATCGGATTCCAGGTACTACTAAAACTATTACAGCCATTTGATCTCAACTAGTATTTTGGCTACTTACATCCTAAAATAGATAGCACTTGTTATTGGTTTCTAATGGTTTGGAATGCATCATGGTAACTATCAATGTGCGTGACGTTTCAGTTACAGGAGCGGGGAAAGCTGTATGCGCATGGCTGGTTAGCGAGGCATCCTCCAGATCCATCCTGGGGAACGGCGCCGCAGTGAGTAAAGCAAGCATTTTGCAGAAAGGTAGGTATGCTCATAGACTAAAAACTATAGGTATTTTACAAAAGTTACATAAGCATTTTGTGTGGCTGGGAAAAAGTAAAAAGAAATACATGCAATTTTTTTTAACAATGCTTATTAAAAAAAATTGTCTAACATAAGGCAAGAAATAACTACTTAAATTAATAGCTTGTGCGGTCTGATACGTAAATGGCTAATTTAAGACACTGCAGCTTTTCTCACCTGTTGTATCTCCTGGAGCTCTAGGTTTCTTATCAAAATCTTGATAAATACCAACACTTTCTACAGATCCAGAATCAGACCTTCGTGTAGATTTCTGAGGAGGGGAACATTTGAAATTATATTTGCACTGTTACTTTAGAAATACTTACAACAGTAGCTGTTAAATGTAACATGATGGAAGTATAACATTTTCTTTTTTATTATTAACTCCTAGTACATATCTTTTCTCAAGAAGTCTGGTTTATAGTCTATTTAGCATCATTCTTTACAGCTTCAGATCAGCCAATTGCTTTACTTCCTTTACTGCAAGAAATAAGTAATTTAAATTCCTGAACAGTCTATGTTGTGTTGTTTGTTACAAAATTGTTAAAAGTGTAATGGTTTGAATCCACAGCGGGAAGAACTTAAACTGTGGGAAAATATCCCCTTGGACGTATGTTCATTTGAAAGAGGAGATGGGAATCACTGTCATACTGGACATGCTGAAGTCATCTATGTGTGACATCTGGTTTTAGCAGAGGGAAATCAATTTATGTACGGAAGATCCTGAGATCAGATTTTAGAAATGAAAAGTTCAAGCTTTTCTGTGTTGTGACAAAGCTGGCGCAGCAGCTCTCACTGTTTTAAAACTAAATATCCTGTGAAAGCTTAGGAACGCTCAGCTCAGAGGAATTACTGTTGGCTTTTTGTGGTATGTTTTCCTGTTTTATTTCAGAGCTTGTGTCTGAATTGTTATTTGCAAGTCAGAAGTTGACCACAAGAGACAGCCATGCTGCAGGAGGAGATGAACAATATAAACTATGGGGCCAGTGTTAATTCCAGAGTTCTCTGTGTATATCTCAGATGAATAAAAATTGAGAATATCTGGTATATTTCTCCCTATTTATTTAATTTTATCATTCAAGTTGAAGCATGGAAAAACAGACTTCAGTGTTATGATACTACTGTGTAAGTAACTAAACAGAAAAGGAGAGAATAACCTTGGTGCCACAGAATAACAAAGTTGGATTTCAGGAAACCACACACCTTTTTAAAGTGTCTTTTTTAGGTGGGATTTTCCCCTCCAGTTTCAACTTTAGGCTATTGATATCTTTGTTAGTCTCTTTACAGGTCAAATTAAAGAGAGAAAGCTGTTTGCATTTCCTCTGTTCAACTCAGTTCCCCATGAAAGTGACACAGAAAAGATGAAGTAAAAACCCCAAAATGGTCTGGAAACAACTAATTACCTGACAGATGGCAATAAAACATACCTGGCTAACTTGATTTAAAGCTTCCGCTAGCAACTTCTGGTTTATCCCACATAAATTTGCCACCTTCTTCTGGCATTTATGGTGCACATTCATCCCACATTCTAAAAGAAATGTAAGCATAGTTATACAACCTTCAGGAAGATACTGTCTGACATTACAACAAAAAGGGCTGTTTCTCTGTGCAATTCAGAAACCTTGTTGTAAAACCGGATTAGACATAGGTCTATCATTGATACTAAAATTGCAGGTTTAGTCTTTAACTCAATGAAGGCTACAAAAATTGTTCAAAAGGAAAAAACAACAACACTCCTCATTATTGTAACAGATTTTGAGAATGAAGTAAAGATCATCTTGCCTTTTAGTGGGGGAATTAAAAAACAGTAAACGCTTTCAATATACTTCAAGGCGCTACCTTGAGTCAGACTCGCCAAACTTCAGCTATTTCCAAAGTAGTAATTTTGATTATGCTCAAGATTACACCTCCGCAGTGTGTTTTCAGAGTGCAATAGAAGCTCACCTTGGCTGAGCTGTCACGTGAGCCAAGTGCCTATTTGTCTCTCTCTTGTACTACAACTTTTTCAACCACACAGGAATGAGATGAATCCCATTCTATATAACACACATATAGAAACACATAGTGTGTAGAAATAGGTAATCTCTAGTGGGGGCTAAGGGCCCTCAAAAAGCATGGAGAGGTCATTCCAGCTGCCTTCCCTCCTCCTCTGTACCTTCACATTTGAGTCCTTGTTTGACCAGCCCCCAGAGCAGGCTGCCGCAGTGGTCACAGAAGGTAGGGCTCATGTAGTTGTAAACTTTGAAGCGATGAGGCATGTCGATGTTGAAACGTTCCTTCTGAAACTGAGGAGAGGGGTGAGGCACTCTACCCAAAACAGGACCAGCTTCTTACAGAAAACATGGATTTTTAAAGAAAATTTTTGGCTTGGGTATTATAAAGCTACAATTTTATCTTGCATCCCTCATCTAGCTGGGAAAGAATATTACATATATAATGCTGTCCATTAAATACTATCCACCCCCTTGCAGGGCTTTCAACTACTTTTCTTGATCGAATGTTTCATCCACTACACGTTACATGCGATATTCAAGAGACAAGAGTGACTTGGGTTGTACAGCCAAGTACCTCCCAAATGGACTTAGCTGTTTCTATACAAGGTTTTGTTAGTTCAGGAGTGTTTAATTACATAACTACCCTCTAAATATATTGTTCCAGCTCTTACCATTGTGTCCCTGCTGTTGGCTGCAGTACCAGTACACCTCCCAATGATTTTATCAATACATTTCTTATGAATAGCAGCATTGCATTCTTCAAGACATGCACAAGAAAAAAAAAAAAAGGATTCCTTCAGATAATAAATACATGGGACAAGGTGTTTGCATTTCATAGCATAATGTGAAAAACACACTCCTTTCCATCATACTGTATACACCAAAACCTTTATTTTCTATCAAGATGATGATCTTTTTAAGCCGATTCCTCCCTTTTATCATAAACTGTATTTCTAAACTAAATCTGCCTCCATCAGACAATGCCACCAGCATTTGATAACAGAAGGGCAATATTATGCTTTTGAATGTTACCCTTTGATATTCCACCTACTGTTTGGACTAATGCACAGAGATCTATGCTAAGTCAAAAGTGCTTTTCAATTCAGCTGGAAATTTTTTGTGAAACCTTTTATAAAATAACTGCTGTAATAAATGAGTGCAACTTTTCACATCAATCACAGAATCATAGAATGGTTTAGGTTGGAAGGGACCTTGAAGATCATCTAGTCCAACCCCCGCCATGGGCAGGGTCACCTTCCACCAGACCAGGTTGCTCAAAGCCCCATCCAACCTGGCCTTGAACACTGGCAGGGAGGGGGCAGACACAGCTTCTTTGGGCAACCTGTTCCAGCGTCTCACCACCCTTGTAGTGAAGAACTTCTTCCTAATGTCTAATCTAAATCTTTGCTCTTTCAGTTTGAAACCGTTACCCCTCGTCCTATCACTACACTCCCTGATCAAAAGTCCCTCCCCAGCCTTCTTGTAGGCCCCCTTCAGGTACTGGAAGGCCACTATAAGGTCTCCCTGGAACCTTCTCTTCTCCAGGCTGAACAACCCCAACTCTCTCAGGAAGCACAGCTATGTCTAAATCTTGATGCTAAAAACGCAGGTAGGAATCATAAGACAGTGTTAGGTTATTGTGCAAAACAGATGTTCAACATCTACTACTACGTGTGGTGATGATGCACTGTGCCATGCATATTTACAGAAGATTTTTCAACAGTAACTATTAGATCTACAGATTCATGTGGAAAACTACAAGAAAAGGGTAAAAATCAACTTACGCCTACATTTGTATCCCTGCTTGTTGAGTCCCCTGAAAAACAAATTATAAAGAAGGAAATAAAACCCATACATTTGCTGGAATAAAAGGTGGTGGTTTTATTTTTACTGTGTCAATCAATCAATCCTTTGTTTATGGAAATATTTGTTCCAATTTATAAACTAGTCTAAATTCTGCTATTCAGAATCCTCTGTTTTAGGAAAGCAAGGTTTAGAAGATAAGGTAGTGTATTTGGTAGACCAGCAAATTAGGAGGGAAGCCCAGAAAAGACAAGGTTTCAATCACATGGGAAATCCTCCCGATTTAACTTACTATGAAAACCGCCTTTCAGTGAAAGGAATCCAGCTCCTTGCTCTCTCTCTGTCTTTACTCTGCTATCAGCCACTTCGCATCTTGGAGTCTGAGTGTTATTTTCTCAGATCCACCCATCTCATTCTCTTGTGAAAGAGCTGTTGTTGATTATGGGCCAGATCTCACTTGATGCTGACGGAATTTTTGCCAATTATTTCAGTGGCAAAAAAAGTTAAAGTTCTATTTTTTCAATGTGAAAGAGACAACTATAGTTCTTAGATATAACAATGCTCTTAAATACATAATTTCAATTTCCCAGACCACATGAATTTACATGTCATGTTTTGTCTCAATATACCTGAAGCGAATTTTGCAGTTGTTTGTCCCTTGGGGGTGGGGGAAGCTTAGCATTTCCTTCTTACCATACAAAGTCTTTGCAGACAGAGCAAAACGTAGGTTGTCCAAAGAAGGTAGCAATAAATTCATGATTTTTGATGTAGTGGATTTTGGCTTGCTTGATAGCTCCTCTCCTGTTCATAGTTACCGCACCCTCCTCTTCCCTCATTGACTGTTTGCAGTCTAAGTAGGAGACAAGACGACACACTTTTAACACTTTAAGGCATTACAAATATTAATATTTGCTTCTCCAAAAAGTTCCATTTGTTTTTCTGTTTCAGATTTGTGTTTCTATTTATTTTACACCTGTGTTCTGCAGACTTTCAGTCCAACAAGGGCAGAACACAAGCACGCACTGCTTCCTAAGGTGTCTCCGTGTCCTTGCTCGCAAGCACTTCCCTCTCCTGCTCATTCAGAAGAAGCCTTTGGTGAGCGAGCTGAGAGGAAGAAGCAGAAATGGAGTACAGTCTTGCTAGAGAAATGACAACCACATGTGTTTCTTGAAAAAAAAAAAAAGCTCCCATACATGATGTGATTTATGTGCAGGAGAAATAAACATATTATTGGAAGCAGGAGGGTCTTCTTCGGCAGAGGCCTTTTCATGCTGCTGCTCCATGTGCCCTCCTGAACCAGGACTACAGCAGAAATGCAGGTGAAGCGCTGCAGGACCTCCCGAGTCACCACTGGACCATACTACTGTGAGATGGGTTTCTTCCAGCCTCCAGGATCATTAGGCATTGAGGAAAAATTAGATTTTCAATTAGATATTTCCATTATGTGATGTAGCATAAGGTTGATGCTACCTCTGTCAACATGTCTCATTCCTCTCCCCTCCTAGCCCCCACGGGGTTACAGTATATAATACTATATAACACTGTGGTAACAATAGTACATACTATAGTATGTGCTGTAGCATCTAATACTATATTACATAGAAATTAGACACAGTATCAGCCAAGAAATAAAATAACAAAAAAATTCTTAGGCTCTGAGTCCAACTAGCTCATACAGGTCCTTCATTGCAGGTTATAGTTATTTCCACTCATTTCCAAGGGTGCTTCCAAGTTTCTCTTACTAAAATGAACATTTTGTGTCTCAATCTTTCAGCCACAACTCAGACTATATAGTCTTGCTTACACATTTGAAAAATAATAGGAGTTTGTAACAGAGGTAAACCCATGAAGGTGTATTGAGAGATTGGGTAACTAGTAATTTAATCCTAGGACATGTTTCTTGTCAACAGAGAGCAGCTGTTAAGGGACAATTCCATTCGTCGGGGGGG